AGGTGAAAGGAAGGAAAAATGCAGTTTTCAGAAATTCTTGTTATAATGAAAAAATGGGAAGAAACATGAATAATTTATTGTTTTAGCACCATTTACTTTATTAGCCTCAGGACATATAAATCAAATCTAATTTTGCTCACATATGACCATGTTTGCCCACTATATTTAGATTGTAAGGTACAGCAAAAATAAAAACTCTGGAAAAATTTAGAGACACGATAATTTTTTTTTTCTTAATATATAGCATTGTGGAGAGGGGGCAACTTACAGAGTTACATAATTTTCCTGGAAATGTTTTCAGGGCTGAGGAGGATGAGAGTAGCTAACCTTGTCCAAAAGCTTTTTAAAAAGTCACACAGTACTCATGAAAACCAGCTGTAAGCCCAGGTCCTAATTACCCAAACTCAAATCATTTTCTGTTTCTACCTGTATAACTCTGGGTCTGTACTCTGGCTACCCATATTTTTGTTGCATTTTTATTCTTGAGCAGACGTATAAAACTTTTTTGTGTAAGATATAGAGAATACATCAGCACTTCTCTCCCTCTTCCCCAGTTTAAAGAGAATGCCACCCTTGCCCCCTTATCTCTGGGCTAACCTCCATGCCTTTTGCAATCGTGTCCCTTTTTCAACACTCCTGCTTTTTAAAGTTTTACTACATGCTTGTAGCCTAAACTTGTCATAGTTTTACATATATAAATGTTTCTATATTGTACGTATATTTCTGTAACTTGCTTTCTTTTTTTGCTCAGCATTATGTTCTTGAGATTGTCCTTGTTTTTATCTGTAGCTGTGACCTATTTGTTTCTGCTCCTGAGTAATATTCCTTTTTATAGATATTACTAAATGTGTTTATATGTTCTACTATTGAAGGACATTTAGGAGCTTTACAGTTTTTTGAAATTCCAGTGATGTTGTAATCATTCTTGTAGGGATCTCCTGTGCACACATCCAAGAATCCCTCTAACTAAACACCTAAAAGTAAAATTGCTTTATGTAATACCACAGTTTTCCAAAATAAATACACATTTGCCTACACACATGTGTGCGCGTGCACACACACACACACACACACACACACACACACTCTCAGTGGCACATAGGGGTTTTGGTTGTTCCATATCTGTTGTGCCTTTGATATTGTCAAACAACTTAATTTTCATCAATTGTATAGGTACGAAACGTTATATCCTGTGGGTTTAATATGCTTTTCCCATAGTACATATTTTATGTGCTTATTTCTTGCTCGTGCTTCTAAGAAATACTTGTTAACACTTTTACCCATAGTTTTAAATTTTATTTTCTTTTTGTCCTTTTCTCTGGATCTGTAGGAATTCTTTATCTTGGATTCTAATCCTTTGTCAATTATATGTGTTGCAAATATTTTTGCCCCACTGTAACTTATTGTTTCACCTTTTTAATGCTATCTTTTTGTTATATAAAAGAATACAAAATAAGTTATAAAACATAGTCAAATATAGCCTAATTTGATTTTAATGTTAAATTTGTCAATCTTTCGCTTTATGCTTTACTCTTTTTGTGTCTTTTTAAATAAATCTTTCCAGGAGCAGTGTGAGGAAGACAGAAGTACCCCCTGGACTAGCAAAGCCTCCTGCCCAGCCCTGCTGCCAACATGCCCAAGAGAAAGGCAAAAGGAGATGCTAAAGGTGAAAAAACAAAGATGAAGGATGAGCCACAGAGGAGATCAGCAAGATTGTCTGCTAAACCTGCCCCTCCAAAACCAGAGCCCAGACCAAAAAAAGTCCCTGCAAAGAAGGGAGAGAAGCTGCCCAAAGGGAGAAAGGGAAAAGCGGATGCTGGCAAGGATGGGAACAACCCTGCAAAAAACCGAGATGCCTCTACAGTCCAGTCCCAGAAAGCAGAAGGCACTGGGGATGCCAAGTGAAATGTACATTTTTGATAGCTCTGTACTTCTAGTGACTCTATTGTTTGAAATACTATTTTGTTAAATCAAGTTTTATAAAAATGTAGAATTTTGGTTCTTTTTATAAGTTATGTTGTTAGCACACAGGATACTTCATTATTGTCTTTTGTGGAAAGGGCAAATATCACTAATAGACTGTGTCTTAGAAACTGAATTGAAATGGGGGAGAAAGGATTTTCTGTCTGTTTTTTAAAGATTGTTCTTGATTCCCTGGAGAGATTCTCTGACATTCATACATGTCAGCCACTTTGACACAGAAGCCTTATAGTACGGGGAAGCAAAACTTCATGTCTTCTCCTTCCCTGATGCCATCAGCTTAGACTTAACTGAAACCAAGATTCTTTTTTTTTTTTTTTAAAGACAGGATCTTTCTCTGTACTGGGCTCAAACAATCTTCCTGCCTCAGCCTTCCAAATAGTTGGGGCTACAGGCATGCACCACCATGCCTGACTAATTTTTTTTTTTAATAGATATAGGAAGGTCTCACTATATTGCCTAGGCTGGTATTGAATTCATGGCTCCAGTCAATCCTCTGGCCTCTATCCCCCAAAGTACTGGGATTACAGGCATGAGTCACACCACATCCAGCCTAAACTGAGAGTCTTTGTGTGGCCTTAGCACCCCTAAAATAATATGTGTTAGGTAACAAAACTCAGGCTTTCTGGTGATGATATTTGAGGAATCACTTAAAAGAGCCAAGATTACTGTTTTCAGTTTGTGGATTCATTCTGTTGAGAATCCTGCAAGTTTTAGGTCATTTCCTCCATATCAGTTGTTGGCCTGTGAAAAGCTTATCTATGTCTCCTGTGAAGTGTCCGCACTCTCTGAAAACCTTTCCTGTTCAAAATAGCAACAAAAGATGTTGACTTTTACATTGGGAGGGGGAGTTTGGAAGTTGTAAAATATTATAGATTGTCACCTATAACCTGCTGGAAGTAACTGTTTTTGAAAGGTATCTTATAAAACTGAATATAAATTGACTTGGGGAGATCCTTTCCTACCCAAAGTCATAAAGATATTATTCTTTATTGCCTTGTACAAGTTTGTTATAGTTTTGCTTTTCACATTTGTCTTTAGTCTGCCCTGAACTGATTTTTGTAAAAAGTTTTGAGTTAGAAGTTCAATTTAATATGTTTTTCTATATGGATAAGTGGTTGTCTCAGCACTATTTACTAAAAAGTTCAAACTTTCCCCACTAATCTGTAATGCTAACACTTTCATAAGTTAAGTTTCTTTGTATGTGTGTGGGTCTGTTGATGGTGTCTAATCTGACTCACTTGTCAGTTTGTCTAACCTTGTGGCACTACTATACAGTTCTGATTACTACACCTGTAGAAAAAGATCTTGATAAAAATGAAGATGACTTCACATTTTGTCATAATGTTGACCAGTCCCATCTCTACTTCCAACATCACCACATTTTTCTTCTTGGGAATGTCTTGGCTATTCTTAGCCATTTGCCCTCCTATATAACTTCTAGAATTAGATTGACAAGTTCTAAATCAAACGAACCAAAAATCATGTTGAAATTATAATTGATTTGTATTGAATTTATAAATTAATTTGATAAGCCATGTCATATTTACAATGTTGCCTTTCAATCCATGAACATGGTATAGCTCTCCACTTTTAAATATCTTTCAATAAAGTTTTATAATCTTCTCCATAAATGTCTTCTTTTTGTTAATATTTCCCTGTGGGCTTTTTGCACTGTTTTGTGTGGTGTTTGGCTAATACAGTTTTTGTTTTTAGCAAATGTTGATTTTAACTTTTGTATCCAGCAAACTTGCTACCTCTTATTCTTTTTCATCTTTCTTTTTTTTTTCCCCCTTCTTTTTTTGAGTCAAGATCTCATTCTGTTGACCATGTTGGAGTGGCATTATCATGGCTCATTGCAGTCTCCACCTCCTGGGCATAAACAATCCTTCCACCTCAGCCTCCTGAGTGACTCGGACTACAAGGCATATGCATCTGTGCCCAGCCTTTTGTTTGTTTGTTTGTTAAAGATGACATCTTGCTATGTTGCCTAGGCTAGTCTTGAACTGCTTGGCTCAACAGTTCTTCCCCCTTGGCCTACTAAAGTGCCAGAAATACAAGTGTGAGCAATCTTTCTGCCTCAGTCTTCCGAGTAGTTGGGGCTACAGGCATACACCACCATGCCTGGCTAATTTTTTTTTTTTTTTTTTTTGAGTTAGAGTCTCACTCTGTTGCCCAGACTGGAGTGCAGTGGCCGCTCCCGGCCACTGCAGCCTCGGCCTGCTGGGCTCCAGCAATCCTTCCACCTCG